AACCGCGATGTACGGATTCAAGAAAAACAAGCCTACTGCACGCCCTTGAATCAACAACGCCGATAGATGCACCATCCACAAATTCAGTTCCCACACGAATGCCGAATGCAATGCTCAAAAGAAAAACGACAACTCGAACGCTACTCCCAAGCCTAGATTCCCATCTGCCAACGCCGTTACAGTCGAACAACCCAACTCTCCAGACAAACCGGATATCGCTTCCGCCATGATCGAAAACGCTTATGTAGTGGTACACAACCCCGAGATAGACTACTATTCCTTTGCCAGCGAATTCATCACGGACTCGGGCGCCAGTATCCACCTAGTAAACGACTATAACATGTTAATCAATCCCATTGAATGTGAACCCAAGGTCATAAACACGGCAAAATCTGGCACTCGTGTGAAAGTCAACATCAAGGGTAGTGTCTGCGTAATGGCGATAAACAACTCAGAACAACGAGTTTATATCGACCTTCCCAATGTATTCTACTGCCCAGATCTAGCCGCAAACTTATTATCCATCAAACAGATAATCTACTCAGGAGCCAATGTCCGATTCACCGACAACACCATGATCATTGAATTCAAGAATGAAGATGTCTACATCAAATCGGTATCACGAGGCAACAATCTTTGGACCGTCAGTACTGTCAATCCACCTTCCTCCAATTTTGCAGGTCTGTGTACTAACATTTGGCACGCTCGATTTGATCACCCTTCAATAGGTGCCCATCGAAGGTACCCTGTGGATGGAGATAAACTCCCCAACGGAGCCGATCTTTGTGAACACTGCATAAAAGGAAAGTTACAAAGAGCACCTTTCAAATCATCTCTTCCTATATCATCTCGTCCATTATACCGAATCTACTCAGATATCCTAGGCCCTATGCATGTTCCAACAAACTCTGGTTTCCGCTACATCTTAACTTTCATCGATTGTCATACACGCTACAACAAAATATATCTACTCAAAAAGAAGTCCGATTCCCTGTCATGTTTTAAGGAATTTGTATCTATAGCAGAAAACCTCATGTCCAGCTCAAATCATCGTGTAACTATCTTACATACTGATCGAGGAGGCGAATACAATTCAAACCTTTTCCACACTTACCTAAAATCCAAAGGGATATCAATAGAACAAGCACCTGCCAACACTCCACAGCAAAACGGAGTTGCCGGAAGATTTAACAGAACCTTGCTACAAAAGATCATTGCCATAATGAGTGCTGGTCAACTGCCCAAATGGTTGTGGGGTGAAATCGCAATGACTGCGTCATTGTTAATAAACATAGCTCCTTCCACTACTATCAAATCTGACACTCCACACCGACTATGGTCATCATACAGCGACCCAACGGGTTCTCACCACAAATTCGACTATTCATTCCTTCGGACTATAGGTTGCTGTGCATACACCCAGATAAAGAAGGAGAAGACAGACAAAATCTCGCCTAAAGCAAGTGACCTGATCATGATTGGATACGACTACATATCCAAAGCATATCGGCTACTAGACCCAATTACCAAGAAAGTTACGGTTTTGCGAAATGTAACCTTTGATGAGAAAAAGTTCCCATTCACAGAAAAGTCAAATGACACCTCACATGACACCTTTGATTTCGACATAAATGAAAGCCTACTGTGTCCCAGAGACGTCGGGATACAATCCGAGCCGACACAAACAAATGAACAAAGGAACGACACCAATATCAACTCAACGGGGTCAACTCACAACTCGTACCATCACCCTTTACCTCCCCCACCTCCTCCAAACCAATCCAACTTGCCCATCGCTCAATCTCGACCATCTAGATCCTGTGGAAAACCACAATATTACGGCAACCCAGTTGCCCACATGTCTCAAGCTAATCCGGATGAACCAACTTACAGACAAGCCATGGCCTCCGCTGACCGAGAACATTGGATCGCGGCCATGCAGGACGAATTCAACTCGTTGGTTCAGCACAATCTTGGTTTGTTAGTTGAATTACCCCCCCTTGCTCACCAAATAGGGGGTATGTGGCGCCTGAAGATCAAACGAGATCAATTTGGCGAAATAATCAAGTACAAGGCGAGATGGGTGGCCTTCGGAAATCACCAAATACCTGGAATCGATTTCGATCAAACTTACGCTTCTGTCGGCATATCGGACACTCTTCGCCTCTTACTTGCCCGTGCAGCAAACGAAGACCTTGAGATCGAACAATTCGACATCGCAACGGCTTTCCTAAACGGACGAATGGAACATCCGGTAGGTATATATACAACAGGTAACTGGATTTGAAGACCCCTCTTTTCCCAACCGAGTAATACGCCTTGACCAATCCTTATACGGCACTCGACAGGCACATCGACAATTCAACTCTGACTTAAAAGAAAAATTAGGCAAACTCAAATTTGTCAACAATTTCGATGATGACTCCCTTTACGTTTGACAAGACGGCTCCAACTTTATCTTCATACACATGCATGTGGACAACGGATTAGTGTTCTCAAACTCCAAAGCCATGATTGCCGAGTTCAAAGAAGAATTCGAAAAATGTTACTCGTTAAAATGGAACGATAATCCATCCCTTCACCTAGGCTTGAAGATTACTCGGGACCGCCCAAACCACATCATCGCGATATCTCAAGAACACTACCTCAAAGATGTGTTAGCCAGGTTTGAAATGGCTGATTGCAATCCCAATTCCACCCCCTTACCAAACAACATCGCACTGGTAAAAGCCACTACCGTCGACAACACTCTCCCATTTCAACAAGCCATAGGGTGTCTTTCCTATGCTGCCATATGCACTCGTCCCAACATACAATATGCCGTTAACTACCTTGCTCGTTTCTCCGCTTGCTACAATCGAACTGTCAGCCACAGAGTACATGTCACAGTACCTTTCATGTACCAAGTAACTGCAACACCTGTACTTATGTACATAAGTACTTATCCATAATGTTGATTACCTTTACCTCTTGTTATCTTATCTTTATTATTAACTTATCTTATTTATCTTACAGTTATCTTATCTGTTAATTACTTATCTATTAAATACATACCTGTGTTATACATAAGTAATTATCACTTACCTTTCACTCCCTTGTCCGTGAAATACCTGTACCACAAGTTATCCCTCTACTACAGTATTTTCACGGTCAAATATTATTACAAATAAATATGTACATGTATTAAATAGTAAGTATTAAGTGTCAATAGAATTAATACATTCAATACATGCACTGATCACAATTATGACTACATTATTAGAGGATCTGTCAAGTGCACGCATCAAGAACAACTAGTACATTGATCAACTAGTACACAATTATGATGTCACTTACAGATCATGACAAATAATGATCAGTCACTCAATTGATGTGCTCATTCTCCTGGCCAAAGCTCCCTTGATTCTGAGCGCTCATTCTTTCCCCCCTTCAGTATTCTGGAACTTATAATCCGTGCCTCTTTCACTGATTAATCCCCAGAATATTCAGACACCAGTTAAACCAGTTAACATTTATATTGATACAGTACCCGTAACCAACATAAATCTTGTCTACCTTTATTGTTCTTAAGCTTCAGTACTCTTACTCAACTTATCCACAGTATTCATAGCCTTGCTGAATATTCCCATTAACAATACCTGTTAATCTTCAACTAATTTTGTTAAAGCTTAATAAGTATTGTTAGCCCATTCCCTTAGGGGAATAACCAAATCAATCCCAGGTGAGTCTTAGTACCCTGGATGCCTATTAATACCTTGTATTGATCCGGATGCGCTGTTGATAGCAAGCCTCTCAGTAAAGACCATACTGATAGAGTGAAACCTCCTCTTTACAGGACTGGTATTAATCACCCACTACCTAACACTCACCACGCTCAAAAACTTCAGTCAACTCATAGTAACAACCTTTTTACTATTAAAATACTCAGGTTAGTTACCCAGAGGCTGACACGAACTCACTGGACTGCGATGAAACATCTCCTCCGATACGTCAAAGGGACCCTCGACAGAGGGATCATATTTCAAAAATCCGATTCTCCGATTTCAAAAATCACCGCCTACACCGACGCTGACTATGATTCATGCATCCTAACTCGTCGCTCTACGACTGGACACGGCATAATGTGGCGTGGTTGTCTTGTCTCTTGGAAAAGCAAACGCCAACGCACCGTTGCCCTATCTACCACGGAAGCCAAATACATGGCTATATCTGATGCTGCAAAACACCTGCTATGGACCAGACGAATGATTGCTTACATCATGCAAACGTCTGTCGAACCTGCCGAGGTGATCACACACATGGACCTTTTCAACGACAACAATGGCGCTGTGTTCCTCTCGCAAGAATCGGCAATTAATCAACGATCCAAACACATCGACATCCGCTACCACTTCATTCGTGAACTCATCAAGGATAAGAAAATCCAAACCAAACACATTGATACTAAATCGATGCCTGCCGACATGCTCACTAAAAACGCCGGCGCCATCGTCATCAACCGCTGCCGAAAGATATTCAACAACATCAACTATCAAGAAATCTCAGAACATTCCTGAGCAGGGGGGGCTGTTACAAACTGAGTCCTCAGAGTAATCAATACTCAGCACCATTCTTCTATCTCGACTCATACCGCTATGACTCACAGCTTATACAAAACTCAACCCTGAGGTATCTCTAAGCTTTCTTCCTCAGTTTATTCTTTGTCTCTCTATGTAATACTATGAGCGCTCATGTTGAACACAAGCGAACTGTTCCTCACCTTTATCTCTACACGTACTAGTCTGATTCTCTTTGTTGCCTTGACTGCGAACTCATGTATATAAACAACCTACTATTTGCCTCTATTTGTTTCTCCTCATGCTTCTTGGAATCCATCGATCTATATACACTATAGCCATTCACAGTCACTAACTCCGAGAGTCAGACTATTATCACAGTACCGCGTACTCCTCCCTTTCATCCATAGCACCTCGTGCAACTGCCCTCGCTAGATTTTTTACTTAGGCCTGGCCCGAGATGACCCGATTAAAGGACGGGTCTACTCGGGCTGCCCGTCGGGCCGGTGCAACAGTGGGGGGTCCTGACTCCTGGTGCTCAGTCAGGTCTGAGTGGACCTGACCAAGCGCCAGGACCCCTCAGAGCTGAGCTTATCCCGAGGTCCGAACCAACCCCAGCTCCTACTCCGTCTGCGACCCCGCCACTGCGAGTGCTAGCACCGGGATCTCAACTTCTCAGTGACCCAGCCCGCGGGCGCCCCTGATAAGCCCGCGGGCAGCCTGCTAACAGCCCAGAAGCCCTTCTCTATATCGGCCCGCAGGCTGCCTGATTTGTAAACGGTTCGGGTCGGGCTATCGATTTCTTGAATGCAGCCCGGCCCGACCCGCCCGGCAATGTTCCGCGGCCCGCGGGCGGCCCGGGCCCGGCCGATTATCATCCTTACAGTGTCATCTTCCCTGTTGTTTTGAATGAGGGACTACAGTTGTCACATTGCCGAATGTGAAGGCTCCACCAGGATCATTTGGGACCAATTTGCTTGAGTAAAATTGGGGATCCTTCAGGATAAAGCTTTTGACTACTTACACTACGGGCGCTGGATTTCGCAACTATTGCGAAATTGTTTCGCAATAGTTGCGAAGCCTGCGCCTGCAGGGGAGGACGTCCCGGACCTTGGTCCAGGTGGATTACGCAGTGCCTTGCAAACGGGATTGCGAGCCTTTTCCGCAAGACTTGCGAAAGATGTTCGTGAGGATTGCGGAAAAAATTGCGTAATACAGCTCTTTCGGAAAAATTGTGAAGCCCAACTTTGCAACGATTCCGAAAGAGTTGCGAAATAGCTTCGCAATAGTTTCGAGCTATTTCCGAAGAATATCGGATCTTTCGCAACCATTTTGAAATGCTTACGCTCACTCACTGCACTGCCGGGGTTTTTTATAAATCGTGTATTTCTTGCATGTAGATAGATAGAAAGAAAATAGTTTTTGATCGGATTGATCGATCGAAAGAGTTGAGGAAGTGAAATAAAAATATCAGATCAATTGATCATATGATAAAGCAAGAGTACAAGTGATGTGAGAAGAAGAGGAGAGAATTCCTTGTTGACTGAAAGAGACGAGAAGGAAAAGATAATGAAAAGAACAAAGCAGAAAAAAAAAGAAAATAGTGTTGTCAATATGAGAGAAGAGAGGAACAAGAAGATTGAGTTTTTATTCTGGAGGCTGAAGCGCTACCCGTGGAGCGGGTTGGGCAGTCGTGGACTGGACCTTTTCGTTGACTTCCTCTTCAGAAAGTGGTTGTTGGTCAGCTTCTGGGACATCCTCATCAGTAGATAAAGAAACAATAAAAAACAGACTATATAAAGGGAGAGAATGGGCTTACTGTTGAAGATGAGCTGGCATGGTTAATATCGATCTTGTTGATGAAAAAGGAGATGAGATGACTTCAAAAAGGAGAGAAGGGAGGGATGGTGAGGATGGGGAAGCAATCCAGTCAACCTGCTCAACGTGCGAGCGGTTTAAATAGGGGCTTGGAAAAACGACTCCTAAAAATTAGTCGACGACTCCCGTTTTGGTCGGGAGGTCGTCGGACGGGAGTCGTTCTTCCAATTCCCCCAAAAAAAAGGGGAGTCGTCGTCCTAATTTCAATGGCGATTTTTTAATTTTTTTTATTAAAAAAATGGGAGTCGCCCGCCTAAAGGGCGGGAGTCGTCGTCCCAATTTAGCCAAATATTTTTTATTTTTTTTCAATAAAAAAATTGGGAGTCGTCCGCCTAAAGGGCGGGAGTCGGCGCCCCAATTCATCCAACTAATCTAATTTTTTTTATTAAAAAAAAGGGAGTCGTCCAACTCAAAACAGGAGTTGTCGACCTCTAGCGACCCTAAAAACTCAAAAAAAAGTTCAGCCACTGGGGCCCCGCCCCAAAGGCACTTTATCAATGATTAAAAATTAGATTCATTGAGAAAAACAAATTCAAGAAATAATTGAAATAAATTGATGAGATGTTGAGAAATGTAAACAAAAAAACAGTGAGAAATGTAAGAAAAAAACAGGGATAAAAGAATTCAATTGATGAGAAATATAAGAAAAAAACACAGGGTAAAAAAGGACAGAGGAAAAAAAATAAAAACTAAAAAAAGACACAGGCAGAAAAAAAACTAGTAGTGGGTCATTGGATTTTGAATCTTCCTCCCTACAGTCAATTGGAAACAATCAGAAAAGATGGCTTCCCATCCCCAAGCCTCTTCTGATGCCTTTTCTTTCCAATCATTTCTCCCGCCCTTTAGGCGGACAACTCCCTTTTTTTTTAATAAAAAAAATTAGATTAGTTGGATAAATTGGGGCGCCGAATCCCGCCCTTTAGGCGGACAACTCCCAATTTTTTTAATGAAAAAAAAATAAAAGATATTTGGCTAAATTGGTACGACGACTCCCGCCCTTTAGGCGGGCGACTCCCAATTTTTCTATTGAAAAAAAATAAAAAATACTTGGCTAAATTGGGACGACGACTCCCGCCCTTTAGGCGGGCGACTCCCATTTTTTTAATAAAAAAAATTAAAAAATCGCCATTGAAATTAGGACGACGACTCCCCTTTTTTTGGTTTAAATATCCTCTCAGTATTTTTTTCACATGACCTTGCGGGTCTCTTGCACCAAAAAAAACGAAATACTTTCGCAAAAGTTTTGAAACTTGTGAACTTCGCAAGTTTGACAAAGCTTTCGCAAAACATTGCGAAACTTTTACAAAGGTTCCGTCAAAAAAAGCGAAACAACTTGCAAAATGCTCTTTTAAAGTTTTGATCCGGCAGAACCCGCATAAAAACCGGTGTTGTTCCGGATCAAAACCTTAGCAAGCTGCTTTCGCAACTTGTTTCGCCCTTTTTTACAAAACTTTCGCAAAAGTTGCAAAAGTTTTTGCGAACGCTTCGTCAAGCTTGCGAAGTTCTATATTTCACAACTTTTGCGAACCCAAACCTTAAAAGTGCCCCCGTAGTGTAGATGATGGTCCAAGATCGGATAGCGGGTGTTGGGTCCGGATACGGTAATCACGGGCGTCCCGGAAGAGCTCTACCCGTCCAACCGGCCTGGTGTGCCGGACCGCTGTGAGATCAACACATTCAGATAACATCTCGCTGAAGAACGTATACACTCTACCGCTACGTACGCGTTTTTCACTGTTCTAGCTTATGTAGACGTGTGGGGTCGGGAAGGAAGTTTGATAAACAATTTTGGTTCCTTTTTTGTTCCGGATGATCCGCGCTCCGGATAACGCAGACATTTGTGTGCGATAGACCTTCCAGATATTACATAACTAGTTTTTGATCTACTTGGACATTTAGGCATCCGTCTATGTATCCATCTCGTCTCGAAAACACAGAAGCGCGTCATACCTCAAGAACGAACAACGACGGGGACTCGAACATCTTTTAATACACTTAATTGGTTGACCGCCGTTCGTCCTTACAGAACTTAAACCTTGGTAGATTATTAATCGCTCATCGCGCGGGATTGCCTTTTATTTGGGATATCGTTCGGGATCGTCTCGGCCAGCTAATTGTCTGCCAGTCTCCTCAAAAAAGAATGATGGCTTGGTGGATGATGGCTTGGATGATATCCAAAAGATAGCCTCTATACGAGTCCTATGTGTTTCCGAGATAGTGAAAGCTGTATACATGGATTCCCCAAGACTAACATGTAGTGGTTGATAGTCTGACTGGCCTAACTCTTCATCATCGTGGACTCGATACACCCTTCACTCGTTGATCCTTTATGTGTAACTTCCATACTGTTACTTATCCATGAGTCGCCATTTTTCATCACTCGCTTCCCTGTAGCTCATCAACATACATCAACAATTGACTTCCAACCCATGCAATTGATTGCTAAGTGGTAAAAAAAAAACTTGCAAGAGCGGAATTACTGTGGAACTAGAAAATGTCTGGCATGGGTCAATCTGACCGGATGATCAAGATTTCATCTCTTAGTCTTGATCAATTTTTTGTTGTTGTTGAGATAAGCAAACCTTCACAACTGCATTCCAAACAACATGTCATTGAAACAAAAAGATATGTACACAAGATGTCTGGGTTGAGGTTTTTTTAAGGGGCTTGGTTAAACGACTCCCAAAAAATGGAGAGCCGACTCCCAAGCCCCGGAATCCCCGAAAAATGGGAGTCGAACCCCCAAAACCTTCGACAGGTTTGGGAGTCGACTCCCTAAAAAAAATAATAATAAAAAAAGAAATCCCCCGGTTGGTATAGGAGTCGATCCTCCAAAACCAACCAGGGTTTGGGGGTCGATGAAACAAAAGACCCCCACAGAAGCGGCCGGGAGGATTCCTCCCGGCCGCTCAGATTACACACCGATGACCGAGAGGAATCCTCTCGGCCGTCGAGATTCTGCTCTCAGCGG